CGCTATACTTCCCGCGGGGAGGACGAGGGTCTGCGGCGGAGACCCGTGCCAAGAAACGCCCTGCGTGCCTCCAGGGTGCCCTGGGATTCTTGGGTTTCGATGGCTCTGTTACGGAAAGCGTGACGCTCCCACACCACACATCAATGGACACAACCAACTTCTCTGAAGGCGCGAGGGCCTCTGAGAAGTCCCGCCGCCTTCTGAGAAGGCCCTCTCCTTCTCACTTCCCCCCCTCGCTCCCCGCCGATCTTGGGCCGTCTCGAGCTGACGGACGCCCGAAAAGGCGAGAATGCTGCTGGCTTCTTGGGTCCCTGTTGGAGGTCCTCTTGTGGCCTTTCTGGGCCCTCTTTCGTCTTGCGCCGTCTTGAGACCATACTGGGCCATCCTGGGCCGCCCTCGAAGCATCTTGGGCCATTTGAGTGTCTTTGGTTGCCTGCATGGGCCGTCTTGGAAGCTCGGGTGCATATCTATCGTTATGTTTGCACGAGGGATCGTGGCCTCGAGAGCGCGAACCCATGCTTTTGTACTAGGGATTGTGGCCCCGGGAGGGGGGGGGCGGTGCATGCGAACATACGCCTTGCTAGAATACGAAGGCCCCCCTACCAGGCAGCGCTTGGAATTTTTCAGGCCTCAACGTCCACAGGGCACTGTGGGGGATCTTGGAGGCCTCTTGGGCCGTCCTTGGCGGTCGGAAACCCAAACAGCTGATAACCCATGGGGAATCAATATGTTCCGCCTCCTCGGGCTCTCCAGGAGGGCCTGTTGGAACCCTCTTGTGCTGTCCTGGAAGACTCGAGCCGTCTTGAGGCCGGTTGGGAGCCTCCCACGTCTTGAGCCATCTTGGGCCGTTTTGGTGCCATCTTGGCTGCCCTCGAGGCCGTCTTGGGAGCCATCGTCGCCATCTGGAGGCGGAACAGGGCGCTGGAGAGCACAGCCATGTTTTCTTTTACGGGTGCGTGCGATGAGGGGGGGAGTCGGTCCTAGAACATATGCAATGCCTTCAGACAAGAGGCGAGCAATCTGACACGCCCCATGGGCTGCAGGAGCGCTTCGGAGAAGCAGGCGGCACGAAGGTCTAATCTGCACAGGCATGTTGGGGCTGGAGTAATCTGCTGCAGCTGCGGCGAATCCAGCCGAATCCAGGGCCTACTGAGTGGTTAGGGTCGATCCAGTGGAACTAGCTGGCTGAGGGCTGCTTATGAGCTGCTAGAGCCCGTAGCTCTCGGCCCGCGTGTCCCAAGCGCCTATGCCGTGATACGGAACAGGGGATTGGGAACACATCTCTCTACATGAGTACCCGGACTGCGCATGCATTAGCGATATCATGCACGCAAACAGCGCCTATTTCGATAGTTGCTCAGGGGATGCAGTCCAAGCGAATCTTTGACAAAGTTGTACAATCATGGGGGAATATCGGACAGGTCTAGAAGTACGTTTTGGGCAGGTGGGTTCGATTCCTGCGTATATTCCAATAGTATCAAGCACAATTCTGGGCTATCCTGTAGTGCTTTCTCACAGCCGCGATTCGAGGCTTGCGATCGCGCCTGTCGGTTTTGCTGGAGCATCGATTTCGCTGGCCAAGCACTCCTGAGTCAAGGCCGCGGCCTCGCGAGTGGAAGATTTGAGGAGCGCAGGGCGAGCCTTGCATGAGGGGCCTCGTGCGGTGTCGGAGCGCTCGGGGCCCAGTGGAGCTAGGTGCCTTGGGGGGGAGGGGCAGCGGAGTCTGTGCCCCTCGTTTAAGGATTCCATGGCTTCCCCAAGCGCTCGCTTTTGAGGGTTTCAGCGGCCCCCGTCCCCCTGACTCTGCTGGGGGGCGCGACGACGCACCCGACGTGTATCCCGCCCCTGTCGCCAAGTGCTGGTCTGTGCCTTCTTGCCCCGTCTGGGGCATCCGGCACGTGCAAATGACACTTGGCCAACCACTAAGAGTACGTCTGTTCGCCGAGCGCGTTCCACTACTCGCAAAGTGCCTACTCGCCAACGCCCGGAAAACCATTCGTCTGCCTTCGTGTAATTTATCGTGGATCCCCTGCGGCGGATCCGGGCCATTTGTGAGTATATACTTTGCGAGTAGTGGAACGCGCTTGTCTGTCTGTGGGTGCCAGTTTCGCCTGCGACACCCTTACACAACGGAGCACGTGCAGAGGTACAACCTAGCGGGACGGGATGCACGGAGAAAGCGGCGACCCCCGACGTGCACCGCGCCCCAGCCACGAAGAATGCTGGTCTCTACGTGGCCCGTTCCCGCGAGACATCGGTTTCCTGTCTTCCCCACCGCCGACGTCCAGTCCTCACCGAGCGCGTTCCACTACTTGCAAAGTGCCTACTCGCAAACGTCAGAAACACACATGTCTGCCTTGCTGTAGTGTATCGTAGATCCCCCGCGGGGGATCCAGGCCATTTGCGAGTAGTTACTTTGCGAGTAGTGGAACGCGCTCGTCTAAGTCCCCTGAGCTGTTCCCGCTGACCTCCCAAAGTCTGCGGCCCAGCGGAGCCCGCGCCATGCCCGTGTGCCACGACCTCGCAGATTCAGGGCGGCTCCCGATGAGTCTGCTCTTCTGGAAGCTGATCACTGCCACGATTGGCACCGTGTGACTCTGCCACGACCGGCGCTCCCGATCGTGTGCCGCGAAGGTTGTGCCCGTCCATTTCTGTCCAGTCACGCGTCCAGTGCAATGTTTGTTTACCCGCTTCGCTCATTCCGCCGGCCCATATTGCGCGCCTTGGAAGCCTGTTGGGGCTTCCCGGGGGCCTCTTCTGGGCGCAAGGCTCGAATTGTCGGTTCGTGTTTCCCCTTCTGGGCGCCTCTTGGGCCGTTTCGGGGCCGTCTCGAGAACTCTCTTGGGACTTTCTTGGGGGCTTCTTGGGCCGTCTTGGGGTGGTCTTGGGGGCCCCCGGGGCCGTCTCGGAGCGTCGGACGCTCGAAAAGGCGATCGCGTGAAAAACATCAAAATCACTGAACTTTTTCTCAGTGGGTCCTCTTGGGGGACCTCTTGAAGCGCTCTTGGGGCTTCTTTGGGGCTTCCTTGGCTGTCTTGGACATCTTCGGTTATCTGTGCGGCTTTGGTGGCCTCCAAGGTCCGTCTTGGAAGCCATCTTGGGATCTGGGACGCATCTTGGGCGCATTGATGAGCGCCTGGAACCCATCCCATCGTTGTGCGTATGTTGTGGGTCAATCTAGTCAGGAATCGTCGTGGCGAGCGAGACAGGAGGATGAGGAGGAGGAGGAGGAGGAGGAGGAGGAGGAGGAGGAGGAGGAGGAGGAGGAGGGGAGGATGAGGATGAGAAGGAGGCCTCTCGATCGCTTCTTGGGGCATTTTGGAGCCAAACTTGATCGTGGCCTCTTGGCGGTACTTTTGGGACCTCATTTTTATTTCGGCCCCTGGCACCGCCAATCAGCGGTCCTTTAGTAAATGACCTTGTGGGTGTGTTCGAGAGCAGCGAAACATTCAAACCGCGCTGTCCGAGTGGGTAGGAAGGAGGAGGGAGGATGGAGGAGGCAGGATGGCAGAGAGACGAGAAGGAGGGAGGGTGGATGCTGTGGCTGCGTAAGAACAAGGAACATGATGATGACGACGATGGCGACGATGATGATGATGGTGATTATGGTGATGATGATGAGGCTGATGGTGACGATGCTGGTGATGATGATGATGATGCTGATGATGTGGCTGGTGATGATGACGATGACGATGACGATGCTGATGATGAAGATGAGGAGGAGGATGAGGATGCTGATGGATATGATGTGGAGGATGAGGATGCTGATGGTGATGATGGTGATCATGGTGATGATTTAACTGCTGATGATGCTGAGGACGACGACGATGATGATGATGATGATGCCCATGCTGATGTTGTTGGTGATGATGCTGATTCGGATGATGATGCTGATGCTTATGAGAACGGTGACGAGGACGATGACGATGACGACGACGATGACGATGATGATCATGGTGACGGCGATGAAGATGGCGATGATGATGAGGTTGACGAGGGCAACGATGCGAACGTTCTATTGTTATGGTAATGGTTATGGTTATGGTGGTGGCTGGTGAGGGCGAGGGTGAGGGCGATGGTGATTGTGATGGTGATCTTGATGATGAGGACGATGATGCTGCTGCTGATGATGATGATGATCAACCTGATGATGAGGATGATGACGAATCCGACTACGATGATGCTGATGGTGATGATGATGAGGATGCTGATTGTGATGATGATGATGATGATGATGATGATGATGATGATGATGATGCTTGTGACGGTGATGGTGATGGTCATGGTGATGATGATGCTGGTGATGATGATGATGAGGATGATGACGATGATGGTGATGATGATTATGGTGCTGATGTTGCTGCTGAGGATGATGATGATGATGATGATGATGATGATGATGATGATGATGATGATGATGATGATGATGATGATGATGATGATGATGATGATGATGATGATTATGATGCTGCTGCTGCTGATGATGATGAACATGACGATTCTGATGCAGCCGATCATGGTCATGTTGTTGATGAGGTTGATATTGATGACGAGGGGTTGGAGGAGGAGGAGGAGGAGGATGCGGAGGAGGAGGTGAAGGAGGAGGAGGAGGAGGACGAGGAGGAGGAGGAGGAGATGGAAGCAGGAGAATGGAGGGCGGAAGGGAAGGAATAAGTGGCGGAGGAGGAGGGAGCAGCATGGGGGGATGGGGGCGAAGGAAAGGGCGACGGAACTGGCGACTCAGAGAGGCTCTTGCCGTTGTCCTCCCCCTCCTCCTCCTCCTCCTCCTCCTCCTCCTCCTCCTCCTCCTCCTCCTCCTCCTCCTCTACTCCCATTCTCCTTCCCTAGAGATGTACTCCCCTCGCCACCTGCTGCTTCTGCTCGGGCTGCGGCTCCTCCTCTCCACTCCTCCACCCGTCCCCTCCCTTTTTACCTGGGAGGCACTCCATTCCCCGACGATGACTCGGGTGAAGACGACGACGAACCCATCGCCGGGCCAGGTCAGACGCTGCGGGGCCTGCGGTGCGGGATCCTTGGCATGGCCTTCAAGCCCGGCTCCGACGACGCGCGCGAGTCCTTGGCGTTCAAGCTCCAGAGGCCAGTGTGCCCTCCACCTCGTCGTCCGCCTCCTCGTCCGCCTCGTCCTCCTCCTCGCCCTTATCGTTCTTCTCCGTTTCGTTCTCCCTTCTAACGTTGTTCTCGTCGTCCTCCTCCTCCTCCTCTTTCACTCTACCTCCTCTTTGAGGAGCGCTGGCGCCCTTCAGTATGGATCCAGACCTCCCAGGCAGAGCTCGCGCTCGGCCCCCTGGCCTGCATGGAACCAGGTACGCGGGAGGATGTCGCCTCCTCCATCTCTTCCCCCTACCTGTAAGTCGGGCGCGTCCCTCTACAGGAGAGGAATGTTCAAAAATGGTCCAGGAACAGTCGGAGGCTGATTGTTTGTGATTATTTTTGACCATCTTGCGTTTTTTTTTTTTTTTTTTTTTTTTTTTTTTTTTTTTTTTTTTTTTTTTTTTTTTTCCGACTATGCCCGACCTAAACCTACCTGCCACATTCATCCCAGATTCCTTTGCTTTCCTCTTGGCCAGCCTCCGCCTGCCGAGTGCCGCGGCCCCGTGCCCACTGGGGGGGGTCCTGAAGCACCACCGCGGCGCCAGATCACGCAGGGTTTCCCTTTTTTGTTCCCCCTTTCCTTTTTTTTCCCTTTCCTTTTTCCTTTCCTTTTTTTTCTCCCCCTTTCCCCCCTCATGATCACTGAGTGATTCCTCTGCTCTCTTTTCTTTGTTCTCGTTCCTCCTCTCCCCCCCTCTGGGGTAGGGCTTCGGTGGAGCCGCACTCGCATCGGCAGCGCTTTGGGCATGGCCCGAAGGTCGGTTGCTGGCTGATTCAGCTCGCCTTCCTTAGATTCACCCCGCGAAGCGAAGGCTCAAAAAAAAAGGCGGGGCCCTGGGAAGGTTTGCACCCCCGCCCACCCCTCCCAGGCTGCCAGCCCGGAGGGCCAGCCCCCCTCCCCTCCCTTGACTGCCGGTGTACGCCAGCTGTTCACCAGCGCGCGGGCTGGTCAGGCCCGCCCCGGCGGGAAAGGTGCCCGCTCCCTCCTGGCGTGGGCCACGAGGGCCTTGAGCACAAACTCACCGAGCGCGTTCCACTACGTGATCGTTTTTTCATTCATTGTTTTGCCGATCGGCGCGGGCCCTCGCACCCCCCCCTCCCCCCCCATGGAGTTGATCTTGGCTGTCTTTTGGCGCCTGTTTCAGGCAGGTGGGGCCTCCCCCATAATGGACACACTGCCGCAAACAGCCGCCCTAAGCAGAGGTCCAGAGCCAGGACCCCCCCCTCCTCCCCCCCTCTTCCGCCCAATGTCGAAACGCCGAATGAAAAACGCTCACTACTATCAAAGTACCTACTCGTAAACGTCTGGAAAACATATGTTTGCCTCGGTGTAGTATATCGTCAGCCCCCCGCAGCGGATCCAGACCATGTGCGAGTAGTTTCTTTGCGAGTAGTGGAACGCGCTTGTCCACAGACCCTGGGCATGGGCCCAGGGGCAGAGCACAGCCTGCGCGCTCCTGGGTCAAAGGGTGGACGTCTCGGAGTCCGAGCGCGTTCTCTGCGGAGACACGACGCGAGCAAAGCACTTGCGTGCAACAGCATGCAGCCCAAGTGCTCGAGGGGGGAGGCTCGCCGAAACAACGCCAGGATGTGTGGCCGCTGGCAGGTAATGTGAAGAAGGGGGTGCTTTGCAGTGACTTCCTCCCCCCTAGATTATGCAACGCGACCGACTTCGGCTAGGAATCTGTGCCGAACTACGTTCTTCCGGTCGTTCCCCTCCTCGCTACCGCCCCCCCCCCCGTGGGCGATTTGAGCGCCCGTTAGCGACTGCAGGCCCCTTGCGAGTGTCTCGCAGCGCCTGTGTGAGAGCAGGCGAGCGTTGGCGAGCGCCTTTGCGGACGCGCATTTTCCCGCGCGCCTGTGAACGCTTGTGGCGACGACGATGGAGTGCACAATCTGCATTAGCGACACCTATAATCCATATAATCTTTCTAATCTCTATAGTGCCTATAGTCCTTATCTGATGGCCTTCCGCCCATTCCGCCAACGTGCCCAGATTGTGGGCATGAAGCCTGCTGGACGTTCGTTGGGATCTCGTGGGAGGCCTCACGAGGGCCTCTTGGAGGCAGTTTAGAGGCCTTTTGGGGGCCGTTTGGGGGTCTCTTGTGGCCTCGTTTGGGCCTCTTGGGGGCCTCTCGGGCGCCTCTTGGGGGCCTCTTGGGGCCTCCTTGGCGCCTCTTGGGGCCGCCTGGGGTCTCTTGGGGCGGAAGGCTCGGATTTTCGGTTCGTGTTCCCTCTCTTGGGCCCCTCTTGGGGCTGTCTTGGGGCCCTCTTGCGCCGTTTTGGGCGCCGCTTGGGCCGTCTTGGGGCGCTCTTAGGCCGTCTTGGGGCCCTCTTGGAGTCCTCTTTGGATGGTTTGGGGTGGTCTTGGGGGCCTTTGGGCCGTCTTGGAGCGTCGGAAAGCCGAAAAGGAGACAACGCCCAAATCCTTACAAAAACAATGGAATTCAATGATTTTGGCCTCTTGGGGCCTTCTTGGGAGGCCTCTTCGAGGCCTCTTGGGGCGTCTTGAAAGCCTCTCATGCCGTCGTGAGGCCATCTTCGGCGGCTTGGGCTGATCTGTGGGCGCCTCGGGGTCCTCTTGGACCGTCTTGGAGGCCGCTTCCCTGACCTTCCAGAGAGCTATCTTTTGGCACTGGAGGCCTAAAACAACTAAAACACTGAACGAAATGCCCTAGAACCAAGACGTAGCATAGCCTTGGGATAGGGTTTTGGGTCGGGTGCAATTTTATTAGCCCTCCTGGAAGGTCAGGGTGGGGGCCCTCGTGGCCCGTCTTGGGGCCCGCCGGGGCCCCGGGAGAGGTCGTGCGAGGGGGGCACGCGCCGAGCTCGGGGGGCTGCGCGGGGAGTCCCTCCTCCTCTCCTCCTCCTCCTCCTCCTCCTGCTCCTCCTCCTCCTCTCTCTCCTCCTCCTCCTCTCCTCCTCTCCTCCTCCTCCTCCTCCTCCTCCTCCTCCTCCTCCTCCTCCTCCTCCTCCTCCTCCTCCTCCTCCTCCTCCTCCTCCTCCTCCTCCTCGGGGGACAGATTCGCGAGCGAAGGCTCCGCGGGCATTGAGGATGGGGGCCTGGAGGAGTGGGCCCAGGGCCAGAGGGGCACGCCCACGCCGTGCACAGAGGCACCCTGGCGGACGATCCTTCCAGTGCCCGGAATCCTCACAGTCTTCAGAATCGCCACAATCCCCATAAGCCTGATGGTCCCTCTAGTCTCCATGATCCGTGTACTCCTTCTAATCTTTGTAGTCCTTATGATCCGCATTTCTATATTCCCAATGATTACCATCATTCTTGTAATGCTTTGAATACATATGCACCCCATGATATACTCCTGACGATCCTCATATTCCCTATCGTGCCCATACTGATTATGGAGTAGGTTGTTATCATAGTTCCTATCGTATACCTCTATACATAGGTGTATGTATATTTATATATAGATATATCGATATGTATATATTCCCTGTAGCCCCTATAATCACGATTATCCCTATAGTCCCTATCATCCCGACAATCTTCATGATCCCGAAACTTTCTATAATCGTTATAATCCCTGTGATCCCTGTAATCCCGATGATCACTATATTCCCTATAATCCGTCTACTCCCGATACTTTTTGTAGTCCATAGAGTCCCCTTTCATCCCTATCGTCCATATGTTCCCATAATCGTTATAATCATGATCGTCCCTGTGATCCCCGTACTCCTTGTAATCCCCAGAATCCCCATACTCCCCATGCTCCCCATACTCCGCTTAACTCCCTATACTCTTTATAATCCCTCTAATCCCGATGCACCCCAGATTCCCATATAAACCCTATCACCTGGAGCATCCCCCTTATCCCAGACTCCCGAACATAAAAAATCCCAATACTCCCATAATCATTGAAATCATCAGATTCCCTATTATCCCTAAGATCCCCATAATCCTTGTAGTCCCCCATCATCCTTATCATCCGAATCCCAATGATCATAATCTGTATAATCCTTACGATCTTGATAATCGCTATAACCCTGATCATCCCCCGTAAAATCCATAATGCACACAATCCGTATAATCCCGGTAGTCCCTCTGAGGGCGATGATGCGAAAAATGAGGGGTGGCAGCGATTTTGCGGCAAAGGAGAGGGTCAGCAGGAGGGGAGGCTGAAGTTTGTGGGCATGGTTGGAGGAACGCCAGAATACAACGCCCCTCATCATCACAAAACACGATACAGTCGGAGTTATGGCCAGGCTACCTCTCAGACCGTTGTTTATGTAATGATCGGTTTTTGAGGAGGGGGGAGGGGGAGTAAGAAGGAGAGGAGGATGAACGGAGAGGAGAACCAGTTTGTCCTTCTTGTTGCTCTCTTCATTGTGATCCATCTTCTCAGGCTATTGTTGTGGGAGGGTGCCGACGTTTTCTGCTCCGACCCGCGCATCCACAGAAAGGACTTTGTGGACGCAGAGTACTTGGTCGCCAAGAGTGAACGGCCACGCAGTCTCGGTAAGAGGAGCAGGGCGCGGAGAGAGCGGGGTAGGGAAACATATGTCTATACGTAATATAGGGAGAGGGTGAGACATATACATAAAGAGATAGAGAAAGAGAGAAACAGATAGCCAAACACAAAGAAAGACAGAGATAGAGAGAGAGAGAGAGAGAGAGACGCGGGGGGAGACGCATGGCCTCATTACGCTTTCTTGTGGGCCTTGTGTCCAGGACTCAGAAGTGCAGGGCGTTGCTTGGAGCCAGGTTCAGGCGCGCCCAGTTGATGATGATGCTGATGATGATGATGAAGATGCTGATGCTGCTGCTGATGATGATGATTGCCATTGTGATGATGACGAGGATGGCGATGTTGTTGATGAGGTCGATGCTGATGATGATGGTGGTGATGATGATGCTGATGCTGATGATGACTACGACGATGACAATGGCGATTAGGATTGCGATTGCGATGAGGTTGAGGATGACGATGGGCATTCTGCTTCTGTTGACGATGATACTATGAGCATCGTGGTAATCACAGTGATGAGGACGCTGACGACGACGATGACGATGACGACCACGATTAGGGAACGATGATGACGACGATGATGATGATGCTGATGTCGATGTTGATGACGATGACGATGATGATGCTGACGATGAAGACGGTGCTGCTGCTGATGGTGATGCTGATGCTGGTGATGATCATGATGCTGATGATGCTGGTGATGGTGATGATGCTGATGATGAGAATGTTGATAATGGTGATGGTGATGGTGGTGATGATGATGCTGATGATGCTGATGCTGATGATGCTGATGATGATAATGATGACGATGATGATCATTCTGCTGCTGCTGATGATGATGGCGATGCTGATGATGCTTATGTTGCTGCTGATGATGGTTATGCTGATTATGATGGTGATGGTGATGCTGATGATGATGCTGACGACGATGATGATGTGGCTGACAATAATGATGATGCTGCTGCTGATGATGATGATGATGACGATGCTGATGATGCTGATGCTGCTGATGCTGCTAATGCTGCTGCTGATGATGATGAGGATGATGATGTTGACATTGGTGACGATTGCGACGAAGCTACCAAGCCGTGTGGCACGCACATCAACCGCAGCAACAACGTAACGATATGCGCAGCGTTCTCGCACTGCTGCCTCACACCAATCGGGTGGCAGTGAGAACACTTGTTCAACATTGATCAACATGTTTCCTCTTCTGCGCTCCTCTCCCTGGCCTTTTGCTCGATGTTTTCTGGCCGAAACTGAGCTTCCTTGTGCTTATGTGTTGCTGGCTCGATGCCTTTGCATTGTTATGAGACATGCGTTGCCTAGCGGTTCAATTGCTTTATTGGCCTCCTAGAAGCTCGCTTGTAGTACGAGTGTGGTATTTTTAAGATCTTGCCGATGTGCCACGCCAGGAAATATATCCACGTACGTGAGCTGCTGCGCTCTGGAGATGCACTGTGTGATGACAACGCATGGCTGAGAGAAGGTCCAGATGTAAGCCAGAAGCGTGTGCTATATTTCCTGCGAGGCCGAGCCAGTCGGAGCGGGGCGACAGCAAGGGGTGGCGGTGTCTATACCGCCTGTCCACTCGCAGCAATGTTGGATAGGCCTTGCGGGCGCCACGTATCGCTGGAAAACGGTCCAAGGTGGATGAGGATGAGGTAGAGAAGCAGTATAAGTAGTAGTCCGAGGAGGTGGAGGAGGCGTGTGTAGGGAGAGGAGGGATGGGACGGAAGGAGGAACAAAGATCCACGTGTCACGAAACGCACATGATCAGAGGACGTGTTGGGTTCCAGCCATTTGGGCACCTTCCTTGGGGGCCTCTCTTCATGTGCCTTACCCTTATGTATCTACCCTCTATTTTTATTTGTGTCCTGTCCTGCCGATGGATGCCGCACGGAGGAGGAACACGACCCGGATGTGGAGGAAGAGCAGGGTGATCAGGATGATTGGGAGGAGACGCACGTCGGCCGGCATGCTAAGCAGATGGAGGAGTTTGCGGCCACATTCGGATGAGTAGGGGAGCATTTCATTCCCCCCCCATTTTCCTCTCGGCGAACTCCCGCATTCTTCTTTTCCTGCCCCCCCCTGCCCGATAGCTCCCCGACCGCCCCGCGCTCTTCCTTCTTCGCTCTTCTCGGGTGGCGTCAGCTATCTACCTCACCGTCCCTGGCTGGGCTGATCCTGGGCCAGCACCGGCGTATGTGTTTCGCCGGCCAATGCACCGACCCTGAGCCCAGGGTGGGCCTGGCAAGGACCGGTGAGATGGACGATTGACGTCCCAGATCTCCCTCCTCCTTGAAGCTCGCTGAGGGGCAGCGAACGCGATCTGTGTTTCTGGGGCGACGGGGGAGAGGGCAGTGCTTTTGTAGAGCAAGAGCAAGCCTGAGCAGCCCAATCGTCGGCAAGAGCAAACCTGAGATCAGAGCTTCTCGCGAAGGGCGGCTGCAAGGATTGCTGCTGACCGATCAGGCGCGCCCGGCGAGCGTACGGGGATCTGGCCCTGGAAACAGCGCTGCCAACCCAGCGACCTTCAACCTCCTGCCTCCTCCCTCCCTCCTCCCTCCTTCCTCCTCCCTCCCTCCTTCCTCCTTCCTCCTTCCTCCTCCTCCCTCCCTCCTTCCTCCTTCCCCCCCGTCCTCCTCCTCGCAGACCTTGCCGCGCTGCAGGTGATGCGGTCTTCATCGGCTGCCCCCATCGCGAGTACGCCGGCCTCGTGTTCCGCGCGGGCGCGCGGGGGGCATCGGGGCACGAGGGGTGTCGCTCCGCGTGCCGCGGGCGCGCGGTGCCGAGCGGGTGGGAGGAGGTCGAGGAGGCGGTGGAGGAGGATCGGGCGGCGTTGGATCAAGCAGTGGCGAGGCGTCCTGGCTCGCCTATGGCCCTACATGATGTTCTGAGAACCTTTTGTGGTTCTCACGATCTGTTCTTCGAGCATTTCTGGTTGAGGTTGTCTTGTTTGAACACATCGGGCTTGTGCTCTAAGAACATTGATTGGTTTTGTTCTTGGAACATTTTTGGGTTCTAAGAACATTTCGTGGTAGGACTATAGGAATGCCGGGACGGTCGGTCCCTGCTCAAATGATGGGCGCCAGACCAGACGCGTATGGCGAGCTCTCTCGGCCCTCCTCTCGGGCCGGGCGAAAGGGGGCGATTGGGAAAGGGGGGGTTACGAAATCTGCTGCATGCAGCTGGTTTCGGCCTCACCGAGGGGCCCAGTCCTCGACACATGGGCGCCTCCGGCGCCGGGAGGCGCCGGGAAAATCAGCTACGTGAGCTGATTCTCCCCCCCCCTTTGTTATCCCTCCCTTTCGCCCGACCCGATCCTCCCTGCGCGGTGCTGCTCCCCTCCCCGCTGAGCGGGGACGGCAGGTGCGGAGCGCCCTCCCCTCGGGAGCCCTGTGAGCGAGCAGCGGCACTGCCTCCGGCAGCTGCGACTCGGGCCAGGAGTGCCGTGGGCTCGGGTCCGGCAGGTCCACCGGGAGCATGACACCGATGCTGCTGACGGCGCGTGTGTAGTTCGGGTGTCGCTAGAAGTGCCCCTGGGCCCAAGGTGCCCTCGGCTTCTCGCTCCATCTCGGAGCCCGTGGGGCCCTCTGGGCCTCGTGAGGGGTGTCCTGGAGAACTCCTGGGCCACCCCGAGAATCCTGGGGGGGCACCTTGGGCCAGGGGTGCTTCTGGCAACACCCGGCTCCAGTGGCGGAGGGCTGCCACGTCTGGAGCAGCCGGAGGCCGTACGCGAGGTCTGCCTGGTGCCCTCGCGCCCGCGCTAGCGTTCTGCAGCTGGGATGCGTACGCCTGGACGCGCGACGCCGGGCGCAGGTCGCCCCCCTCCGCAGGCGCGGGCGCCTCCGTCGGGCGGGTGCCTGTCGTGCCAGCGGCACCGTGCAACACGCCGTCTGTTGTGCGCTGTGTGCAGTCGAAGGGTGACGGAGCTCATGCGTCGGGGCGCGGTCCCCGCCCTACGGCCCCTCACACATAATGATGGGCTGCGAGCCCCGCAAAAAGTTGTTGCCACGTTTTCGCAGCACGAGCACTTCTTGGGTCCTCGCTCTGCGAGCGCTGACTTGCAAGTCTATCCCGACGTGCATCCTGCGGCAGTAGCTCATTTTGAGCCATGTGTGGATCACATCGGGCATACAACTTGTTACGGACCCTTTGGCCAGTTCACCATCTCCAAGAGGTATACTGTGACAGACGCATCTTGCTTGTGCTGAGCTTTCGGCGAACAGAGGATCATTGGTTCATTTCGCTGGGAACCAATGTTCTGTAACAGTGTGTGCAGTACATGTTTGCATCATCGCCTTGACCTGTTGAGCCCTGAGTTGTGGCGTGAAAGGGGGGGACCCGCGGCCGAGTTCGCTGAGCAAGACGCGCCTTGCGCGTGGACCCCAGACGGCAGGACAGCAGGCAAGTGCCGGGGAAAGTCGGGAGCCGACACGAAGGATCTGGCGGCAGCGGAGTGGCAGCACGAGAGCCAGGGACAGTCGTGGGCGGGGCCGGGCCGAGGAGGATGGCGGCGGCGGCGGTGGGCGAGCACTGGGGTCGGAGACAGGCCGGGGCAGGGTGGACTCCGAGGAGGTGGGTGGCAGCGTGGGGAAGAAGCACCAGTGCCAGAGGCTTACATGCTCGTTGCGGGGACCTTCCTGGGGCCCACCGCACGGATTTGCTTGTCTGTGCCTCGACTCTAGTTCGACTCTGGTTCGACTCCAGCTCGGCTCAAGGTCGACTCAAGGGCAACTTCAAGTTCGGATCAAGTCGGCGGACGTTCCACGCAGCATCAACGCACGAGTGGAGCGAGCGGCTCACGGGAGGCTCCCAGAGCGAGCACCTGAGAGGCTGCTGGGGACGGGGCCGAGCCGAGAAGGTTGGAAGATGCGAGAGGATAAGCGCTAAGGCCAGGGACAGCAGCCAAGGAAAAGCAGCCCACGGGTTGCGCGTTCCTCAGGAGGACCCCCCTTGCAGCGGCAAGGGAGGCTTGTGGGGACTCGTGAGGAGGGAACTCGGGACGGGAGGCTGCTGCATCCTGGCTTCGCTCAGGTCCTCCTCCTCCTCCTCCTCCTCCTCCTCCTCTCCTCCTCCCTCCCCCTCCTCCTCCTCCTTCTCCTTCTCCTCCCCCTCCTCCCCCCCCTCCTCCTCCTCCTCCTACTCCTCCTCCTCCTCGTCCTCCTCCTCCTCCTCCTCCTCCTCCTCCTCAGCTGGGCATCCGACGTCGGTGTTTTTTTCACAACGTGGCTCCCCGGGGACCGCAGTGCTCATCCTGTATGTTTTTGGACCGCGGAGGCCGGGAGCGGCTCCAAAACACCTGCCGCCGCCGCGACGCGAGGCCGTCGGGGCAGCCCCCTCCTGCCGGGCTATCGGCCGCCGCCGCCTCTCTCTGCTTCTCGCTTTTGGCTCCCAGTGGCCTTTCTCTTGGGTAGGAATGCGTGAGAGGACACCTTCGAGAACGGCATTGACCCGCTCCGTCGTTGAGCGAGCGAGCCTGGATTTCAGTCGGGCGTGTCCCTCCACAGGCGGAAGGTTCAGAACTAGTAGAACAACAGGCTGGGGGCGATGTTTCGACTCTTTTTGCGCACCTCCGAGTCTGTTTGGACTGTGCTTTGCCTTTCGCCCCTAATCCGCCTGCAGGAGGACATGCCCGACCTCGGCATGGGTCCTTCCCTCCCCCCCCGGCCCCGCCCTGCGGGGGAGCACAGGCCAGCCGGTCTTCGACTGCTGGGGCTCCACCTCGGATCCCGCGCTCGTGGTCACGCCGGGCGTCCAGGAGGCCTCCGCGCCCTCGGGGGGGCCTCGAGGGGCGCGCAGCCTCTGCAGGGCATCTCGGAGGGAGCTCGGAACTCGGAACTCGGAACTCCGCGAAAAAACACGCCAGAGGGCATCGTTGGCGGGGGGTGTGCGATACTCTCTGGAGACGCCATGCAGGCCGAAGCCGCCCACCAGGGGTGGGCTCTGTGTGTGAGGAAGACCGAAGGCAAGTGATGGGCACAAGAAGCCAACGGCGAGGACACTCGACATCCTCGCCTTGATGACGCCCGCAACATCCCCTCAGCCCCTATGCCGCTGCATTCCCCCTCCTCCTCCTCTTCCTCCTCCTGCTCTTCCTCCTTCTCCTCCTCCTCCTCCCTCCTCCTCCTCCTCCTCCTCCTCCTCCTCTTCCTCCCCCTCCTCTTCCTCCTCCTCAGTCCTCTCCTCCTCCTCCTCCTCCTCCTCCTCCTCTTCTCATCGATGCTGGACGCGCGGGCGCGCATTGCGGTACGCGAAGTCCCCGATCGGACGGGGCAGCGGAAGATGCACAGCGCTGGGAGGAGGGGCGAACGAATCTCGGAGGCAGGGGAGGGGGAGAGGAGAGTCAAGGGAGGAAAAATCACCTGGACTGGACAAGTGGCGTTTACTAAACGGCCCTGGGCGTTTGCTACACAGCCCTGCCCTGATTGATTCCTTCTTTGGGTGCGTTTACGAAACGGCTTCGCGCGTTGGGGTGGTCATTCTCGGGGTGGATAATCTGCCCTGTGGAGAGGGGCCGCGATAGGTGCGGGAAGAGGGAGGGGGAGAGGGAGAGGGGAGGGGGACAAGTTAGGTGCGCTCGCGTCAACATCTGACATCCTACCCCTCCCTCCCATCCCTTACCATGGCGCTGATTTTCTCTATCCGCGGACGCGTGTCGTAGCGGACCTGTGGCTCCGCGCGCGTGTGCGTAGTGGGTGGTGGTGCGCGTGCGTGCGTGCGTGTGTGCGTGGTTGTGGTTGTTGTGGTGGTGGTGTGTATGTGTGTGTGTGTGCGTGTGTGCGCGTGTGCTGTGGTGTGACGTGGTGTGGCGTGGTGTGGCACTGGTGGTGTGTGCGTGTGGTGGCGTGTTGTGGTGGTGTGCGTGTGTGCGTGGTGTGTGGTGTGTGCGTGTGTGTGTGTGTGTGCGTGCGTGCGTGCGTGCGTGCGTGCGTGCGTGCGTGCGTGCGTGCGTGCGTGCGTGCGTGCGTGCGTGCGTGCGTGCGTGCGTGCGTGAGTGCGTGCGTGTGTGTGTGTGTGTGTGTGTGTGTGTGTGTGTGTGTGTGTGTGTGTGTGTGTGTGTGTGTGTGTGTGTGTGCGTGCGTCGTGTGCGTGCGTGCGTGCGTGCGTGCGTGCGTGCGTGCGTGCGTGCGTGCGTGTGTGTGTCTGTGTGTGCGCGCGTGTGATGTGGTGTGACGCGGTGTAGCGTGGTGGTGGTGGGTGGGGTAGTGCGGTGGTGGTGGCGGTGCGCGGTGGTGGTGCGCGTGCGTGCGTGCGTGCGTTGGTGGGTGGAAGTGGCGGTGGGTGTGCGTGCGGCGGGGCGGGGCGTGGTGCGGCGCGGTGGTGGCGGGCGGATGGGCGCGCGAGAAAGAGGCCCGCGCTGGGGCGAGAACGCCATCCTGAACGACGGAGGCAAAACACCGATCCGAAAATGAGGCCCACGCTGCAGCGGGAGCACGATTCGGAACGATTCGGGAGCAGAAATGAGGTCGTCGCCTCAGCGAGAGCAGCATTTTGGAAAACAACGCAGGCGAAAACCCAACTCCCAACTCCCGGGAATCCCGTGTGTAAAAAACAGTACGCGGGGTGGGGGGTCGGCTACTCCCAGCACGTCATCAGGGGAAGAGGGAGAGTAGTATTCATATTGGGTAATGTGGAGAGGGAGGGAGGGGGAGGACGGAGGAGAGAGGGAGGGAGGAGAGGGAGGGAGGGGACGGGAGAGGGGAGAGGGAGGGAGGAGAGGGGAGAGGGAGGAGAGGGGAGAGAGGGGGAGGAGTTGGGAGAGGGAGGAGAGGGAGGGAGGGAGGAGGGAGGGGGGAGAGGGAGGACGGGAGAGGGGAGGGGGAGGAGAGGGAGGGAGAGGGCGAGGGAGAACGCGACAGCTTGGGCCAGGCCTCATCCACGGGCGGGGCCGCAGCGCACCACGTTGGCGGGAGGAGCCGCTTGCATAACAATCAGGGGCAGCGATAGGGGGGGGTATAGGCATAGGGGGGGAACGCATCTCAACTGCCCACGGATCGCCGACAGGGGCCTGATGGCCTCAGCCTGCCCAGGAAGGGGCGGCTTCCCTATCGGAGGCCCATCGCCGATCTGTCGACGATGCATCGCCGATTCCAGGTCGATGCGTCCCCCCCCTTATGCCAGTCCTCCCCCTTATCGCTGCCCCCTGAAAACAATGGGGGTGGAGAGCCCTCCCTCCCGACGCCGTCGGAAATCTCACGTCGGGAAAGCGGCGCAGGGCATGGCGGTTCTGGGGTGGCACTCTGGATCCGCACGCCTACGGCGAGAGGAGGCCCCGAGAACAGCGCGCTCTTGGCGTGCGCGCCTGGGGAGGCCCCAGAACTCGAGCTGGGCCTCGCGGGGGGGCACCCCCCCACCGTGGCCCGCGGCGCGGCCCGTGGAGCGAGGCGCCAGACGCTCGCACGGGTCGCAGAGTGCGGGGCACTGTGGTGGCTGTTGCGCTGGCGGTGAGCACCGAATCGCGCCTGGATGACCTCCCGGGAGGGCGTGCCGCGGGGGAGAGGCGGTGAATCGAAAAAGAAAAAAACTCATGAATTTAAACTCTCGGCGCTCCAAGCGGATTTCTTGGATCCGCGCCTGGGCCTCCCAGCGGCGCCTCCGGCGCCGCGCCGCCCCTGGCGCGCTCCGCTCGCCAGGGAGGGGTGTCCAGCGCCGAATCCGAGAAATCCCGCGCAGCGCCAAAAAATTATGTTTATGTGTTTTTGTTTCTTCTTCCAGTGAAAGCGTCGAGTGGGTGGCGTCCCAGGCGGACTGGGCTCGGTGGGATCGTTCGAGGACAAGTCCTGGGCGCGACGTGACGTGTGTAGCAGGCACTTGGCTCGCTCAGGGAGCTGGGCCCAGTGGCCCGTCCGTGGGTCCCCAGTGGCAGTCTTAAGTTGGGCATGTCCCTCTACAGGAGGAGTGTTCAAACATCGGAAAACATCGCCAGGGATTTTTGTGGTATCTAGAGACGTATATTTATAAAAGTATGCATACCATGTGTTAGTATACTATGTGTTTGTATACTATGTGTTTGTATACAGATACATGTGTGTGTGTGTGCTTGTTTATATATACATATATATATATATATATATATATCTACATGTATGTATGCCTGTCTGTCTGTCTGTCTGTCTGTCTGTCTGTCTGTCTGTCTGTCTGTCTGTCTGTATGTATGTATGTATGTATGTATGTATGTATGTATGTATGTATGTATGTATGTGTATATATATATATATGTATACTATGTGTTTTTCGTCCAGAAACCGCCTGTAGGAGAACATGCCCGACCTAATGGTGGTCGGCGGACGCTCGGGGGAAGAGCCACGAGGAACTACGGCCAGGAGGGGAGGCGGCGGCCGCATGGGACTGGTGGCTCTCGTGGCCGATGCCCGCGGGGGTCGGCGGCCGCTCGGAGGGAGGGTCGCGATGGATTGAGGCATGGGCTACGGCATAGTGGCTGGTTGCTGTCTTGTCCCGGTGGACACCGTGGGGCGGTTCAACGCTGTGTGGCGCGCTGTCTGCGTTGTGGTGAGGACGTCCAGGTGTAAACTAGCGGGACGCCGCTTCGTACCGAGAGGGAAAGAGGCGTACAAGTAGTATTTCTTAGCGGCAGGTCCCCGACACTTGCGGCGTGAGTCAACGTGAGTATTACGAGGGCTGGTTATCGCAGGAAGCAGTTGGAATCTTAGGCGGCAGGAGGCTGTGGGAGGATGAGGGACTGAGGATGGGGGTGAGGGAGAGGGGTGGAGGAAGCGGGGAGGGGAGAGGCGGGTTGGGAAGGAGTGAGGGCGAGGTGCTCCTCTGTGCTTCACCCACCCCCTTCTCCTCCTCCTGCTCCTCCTCTTCCTCCTCCTCGTCCTCCTCCTTCTCCCTCTCCTCCTCCTCCTCCTCCTCCTCCTCCTCCTCCTCCTCCTCCTCCTCCTCCTCCTCCTCCTCCTCCTCCTCCTCCTCCTCCTCCTCCTCCCTCTCTACCGTAGGTTCGTGCTGTGCCGGCGAGTTAGCGCCGTCGCCGCGGGCGTTCGAGGCTTGACGCCGCTGGTGGCCTAGAAGCGGCCCACACGGACCAGTCTCACCATCGACAGGCGCTGCCGACCGCCGAAGGTGGAACGGTCCCCGCGGTGTCAGAGATCAACGCTGCGGGCTCGTCACGATGTGAGCCTGCCGCACGGCGAGGTTCGCGTCGTGTCGACCGGCGGCGACCCCCCGCCGCCGGCGTTCAACGTTGAACGCCGCCGGCGATCCAGAATCGCTCAATGCTGAACGATTTGACGTTTCGGAAGCGGCCGATCGTTCAAGGTCGAACGGTCCCCGCGACGTCAGAGACCACCGCCGAAGTCGATACGACACACGAGCCTGCCGCAGCCGTGCTCGCCTCGCGCCAGGCCGGGCCCTCGGCCGCGCCCTGGCGCCTGCGCGTCGCCGTCGTGGGTGGCGCCGGGCACGTGGGCCTGCCGCTGTCGCTGGTGCTCGCAGACCGAGGCGGCTGGCGCAGGGGACGGGGCCCCCACCTCGAAGAACAAAAGTCTCCATAGTCATAAGCTTTCGGATCTGCACTGGGATCCCCTGGCGGCGCCTCCGGCGCCGCCCCTGGCGCGCTCCAAGCGCCAGGGAAGGGGGTTCGGCGCAGATCCAAGAAACCCGCGCGGACCTCCAAAAGTTTCTGTTCATGCAGTTTTTGTTCTTCTACCCTCGCCTCCCTCCACAGGGGCAACGTTCGGGGAGAGTCGGCTCAGGGGGGGATGCATCTACGCCCAATTTGACGCCGTCTGGGAGTCTTGAGGTGGCCCAGCACTGGTTCAAGCCAGCAGGAAGGGCGGGCAGGTTCGAGGTTCTGGGTTCGGGAGTTTTTTTTTGTTTTGGTTGCCTTTTTCGGCTTCTGGGGGCCGTCTTCGGGCTTCGATGGGCCCCGGGAGGAGACCGATCATGAGCGGGTTTGGCGTCATCCCCCTCCTGCCAGGTTTTCTGGGGTCCCAGCCAGTGGAGAACCCCCGGCTGCCTCCAGCTCTCACCTCCCCCCTCGGGGGTAAGGCTAGGGGAGGATCGGGTCGGCAAAGGGGGGTGCATTTGGCCCCCTGATCGCCGGTTCCTTGCCGAAATGGGGCCCAGGAACGTGCGGACTCGCCGTCGGGACCAGATCGCCGATCCATCGCCGATGTATCGCCGATGTCAGGTCGCCGCTTCCCCCCCGAGCCAGTTCCGCCCCATCGTTGCCCCTCCATCTCCATCCCCAGACCTCTGCGGCTGGAGCAAGGCACGCTGAATCTTCTCACAGGTTTCGGCCCCCGAACGCTCGAATACTGGAGTACCGAGGCCCTTCTGAGCAGGTGTTTGAAGCACGCTTGCGCGTCACTGCCCGCCGTCACCCCGCTCTCGCCACAGCTTGGTTTTTCAATTCGTCGCATGCAAGAATGATCTCTCGTGCCCTGCTGCCGCCGCTCAGCTTGAGGAAAGCACTTCCGCGACAGGCCCCTGGCACTCCTCGTGGGAGGTGGGAGATCCCCCGTGCTGAAAGAGAGCGCTGGCAGCGGTGTCGTCGCACTGCTCGGAGCAAGGCTCCGACCACCTATCTGAACATGAGCTAAATAATCCACCGAGAACTGGATTTGTTCTTGTTTTCTGTGAAGATGAAAACGGCCCCTGGGGGCCGTTTCCAGGCCCGGGCAGTGTCCACAGAGCATGGGCCGGGACCCCCTGCCCGTGCCGCCTTCCCGGGAGCCGCCGGAGGTCTGAGCCTTCCCAGCCCGTGGCACCCCCGCCCCCTTCCTCGGGTTGGCCCAAAAGGGGGTCCAGCGACAAGGGGGCAATCGATTTAGTACAATAGATCCGTGGGGTTGCAATACATCTGGGGCGCGCAATACATTCCAGGGCGCAAATGTATTGCTGGATTTTCGCGTACAATGCATTCGTCGCAATACAATGCAATACAATTCTCCATCTGGCGCAGTACATTTGTTACACAATTGCCCCAAATCTATTGCACCACCCCCTTTCAGCTGGACCCACTTTTGGATCGACCAAACTTCCCCTCCCTATCTTGGGATGCAACTCCTGGGAGGTTGAATTCAGCACTGGCGCTGGTACATCCCTGGCCGAAAGCCAGCCCAAGCCAGCATGACATCGCCTGATTCCGCTAATTCTGGTTGAGTCTGGTTCAGTTTTGGGGATAAGTCTGTCTTGGTAGCCCCTGAATCGGTCTTACCTCTCTTTAGCCGTTCTCGCGAAGACCTCCCAGAAGTTGCTTCTTAACCTGCCAGGTCTTCCATTCGTGCGCGCGCGGTCTTGTGTATCCATGCGGGGCGCAGGCCCCACTACGCTCCAGCTGGGCCAGCGTGCTGGCTGACGAGGCCCTCCCTTGCGGGAGTTGGCGCCAGCGGCTGGGTGCGGGTCGGTTCGAGGGCCTGGCGTCGGTCCAGGCTGAGCTCTCTTGTGAGGAGCGCCCCCGCTGTCGGCGGCTCCGCGTGGGGCGTCATCTCGGTTCTGCCTCTGACTTGCTCCCCTGCCGCTGGCTCACCGAAGTGCGAGTGGGCGGGGAGGAAGGCGCTCCTCTGGCTGGCCCCCCTCACCCCTCGGGGTGCACGGCCCCGGACTTGCTGCCATGGCTCTGTCCCTGTGCAGTGGCAGCACTGCTTAGATCGACTTGCCTGCAGTGGCATTCGAAGACGAACAAAACGGCATGAACATAAACTTGTGTCCGCGCTGGGGCCCCCCCGGCGGCGCCTCCGGCGCCGCCCCCAGCGCACGGAGCGCGCCAGGGAGGAGATTCCAGCGCAGATCCGAGACATCCGCCCGCACCTTCGAAAATTTGTGTTTATGTCGTTTTTTCTTCCTCCAGGCATGGAGCACCAGTGCTTGCTTTTCTTCCCTTCTCTGCCGTTGCCTTTCTCATCCTCTGCTGAGTCCAGTCCATTCCAGTCCTGTCTCATTCCCTCCTCTTCGTCCCTTCTGCTGCCTCCTACTAGTCCTCCCATCTTTCTCCTCCTCCGATCCGCCCCTCTCCCATCCAACTCGTGGCCCCAGTTGACGACCACACGTGTCAGCCAACACAGGTTTCAGAAGGGTCCGAGGTCCAGGGTCAAGATACAGAGTGGTGAACGCTGCTCGAGCCATCGTGGCGCAGCCTGTCGACGCAGAGGCCGCCGTTTACTCGGCTGCCGCCCCATCTTCTCCTCCTCTTCCTCCTCCTCCTCCTCCTCCTCCTCCTCCTCCTCCTCCTCCTCCTCTCTCCTCCTCTCTCCTCCTCCTCCTCCTCCTCCTCCTCCTCCTCCTCCGCCTCCTCCTCCTCCTCCTCCTCCTCCTCCTCCTCCTCCTCCTCCTCCTCCTCCTCCTCTCTCCTCCTCCTCCACCCCTGGAGGGAGAGGGACCTCGCCCACGCCTGGAGGCAGGCTATAACGGCCGTGTGCCAGCTGCCTGACGTGGGCCTGCGAGGACCGCGCGAGGGCTGACGAGAGCAGACTGGCTCGCCCAGGCGAGTTTAGTTCAGGAGTCTGTGGGCCACAAGTCATGAGCCCGTTTTCCACCACCACCACCACCACCATAAGTTGGAGGGGGAAGGAGGAGGAGGGCGAGGAGGAGGAGGTGGACGAAGAAGAGGAGGAGGAGGAGGAGGAGGAGGAGGAGGAGCAGGAGGAGGAGGAGGAGGATCCCCTCCTCCAACTTGAAGGTGGTGGTGGTGGAAGACACGCCCATCAGCAGGCTCTTCGTGTGGCCCTTCCTGGCTGGCGAGGAGGCCTTCTGCCTCGTGTGTGCGAGGCGAGGGGCCTTCGCGGGATTTGCGGTGCTTGTCCTGAGTCGGGCCTGTCCCCGTACAGGGGGAATATTCAAAAACAGTTAAAATAGTCTGGGGACTATGTTTTTAGTATTTTGTTGCATCTTTTGAGCATTTTTTGAGTATTTCTTATATTTCGTCCAAAATCCCCCTGTTGGGGACAGGCCCGACCTTATGCTTGTCCTGGAACAGCCATGGAGGCCGTTCGGCGGACGTCCAGCAGCACCGCTGGAACCTGATCTCGGGGGGGCAGCGCCCACGGCACGGGAGGGGACAGAACCCTGCTCCGGGCCCCACCGTGTCCACATGAACAGGGGAGGCCCCTGCCCGGCGGCACCCTGCCTGCCTCCAGGGTGCCCTGGGGCTTCTCTTGGCCTGGCACCGCTCGGACGCGTGCACTTAATTTCCCCGGCGAGGGCCATCGAGGAGCACTTGGGGCCATCCTGCGAGAGGTGCACGCGCGGAGCCGAACGCTGCACGGGGAATGGGCGTCCGAGCGATGCCAAAAGTTGGGCTTCGCTGTTTTTTTTTTTTTTTTGCCGCGGGCGGCGCGACGTGCCCGCACCGAGGGGCCTCCCTCCCCTGCGGGCGGGGGCCGCCTGCCTGCCAGCGCGCGCGCCTCGGGAGGGGCCGCGCGGCGCAGAGGCGGGCCCTCGTCCGCTCGCGGGATCGCTGTCTTGCAGGAGGCCCACGCCTAAATCGGGCGTGTCCCTCTGCAGGAGGAATCTAAAACAATGGAAAAAATAGCCAGGGGACGATGCTTCTAGTGTTGTTTGACTATTTGGGAGCATTTTTGGGTTTTTTTCTCCCAAAATCCGACTGCAGGGGGACAGGCCCGACCTAAGCCCATGCCACGAAACACCCTGCTCGCCTCGAGGGTGCCCTGGGTTTCTTGGGTTTCGATGGTTTTGCCGTGGGAAGCGCGACGCTGCCACGCGGAGAATCCGTGGACGTCCTGGGGTCTCGGGGTTGGGTTTCTTGTGGAAGGCTTCTTGTTGGCTGGCCTCCACTGCATTCCTTGCTTTGCCGATCGGCGAGGCCCTCGCACCCCCTCCTCCCTCCCCCCCCCCCCGTGGAGCCGTTCTCGGCTGTTTTTTGGGCGCCTGTTTCAGGCAGGTGGGGCCTCCCCCATGGGACGCGCTGGTGCAAGCAGTCGCACCAAGCATAGGTCCGGAGCCAGACCTCCCCCCTTCCCCCCCCCCTTCCGCCCAATGTCGAAACGCCGAATAAGAAAACGTTCACCATTTACTCACTTGGCATCGCTCGGACGTGTGTATTTTTCCCTCGGCGAGGACCTTCGAGTAGCATCCTTGATCATTTGGCGAAAAAAACCACGCACGAAACCGAAGAAAAGCACCGGGAATGGACGTCCGAGCGATGGCCAGCTCACCTCCCACGGCAGGCTGGCGCCGCGTCGACGCAGAGGCAACGATGGCGTGGGCGCTCGAGATGGAAGGCCACCCCAGTGACTGGCTTGAGCCAGACGGGCCTTGACGGGTCTTCGCTCCTGGGAGGCGCAGGTCGTTC